TTCTCTGTGTAGTTTTGGTGCCTGTCCTGAATCTCGCTCTGTAGACCAGACTGGCCTCGAACTCACAGAGATCTGACTGGCTCTGCCTCCCGAGTGCTGGGATTAAAGGTGTGCGCCACCACCGCCCGGCGAGTATCCTCCTTCTTGATCAATGCCCTTTACCCTCGCTGAAAGCATTACCAGGACTATGACACTGAGTTTTCTCACCAGAAAAAAAATCAAATCAATAAACTATTTCTCTTATAGTTTAACTTTTCCCCTTAATTTCTTCTCCCTTGCTCACTCCCTCTCCTCTCTCCTCTCTCTCCTTCTCTTCCTCTCTTCTTCCTTCTTCCTCCTTCCTCTTCTTCAGCTTCCTTAATTAACATGACTTCTCCCTCATCTGGGATCATGGTCATAGCATGTTAGCCTCCGTTCCCTTAACCCTGACCCAGGCCTGCAGCATGAAAGCCATACCCTGCTGTGCCCTTAAGTTTCTCTAACCCTGAGGACCCATAGCTGAATCTCTGCAACTACTGAAATGACTCAACTGGACCAATATTTTTCAGACTTCTAAATATACTAACCTACTAAACCCTGTGGGGCGTTTACCCACCAACCCCACAGTTCCCCAGAGTCTTCTTGAGTGTGAGCAGCAGGAAATATTAGATAGAAGGATTTATTGCGGAGAATATCGCGGAGATAAACAGATAGAAAATAAAGGATAGCCTCGAGAGGGCCTGGAACCTTTTCCAACAGGCCCCGACTGTCTCTGCCCCAGGGTTTTTATAGAGACGCCAAGGGATGGAGCAAAAGACCTCCTTCCCCAGCACAGTCAAGTGCAGACCATCTCAGACACCTGCACTCAGGCCCGTGGTCTAATCATCCTCTATGCGGACCTGCTGGGGAAAGCCACGAGGAACCCGAGAACGGGCTCCCATAAACCCCTTCTTCTATCTCAGTGAATCCTGCAATCTTCACCAACACTTACTGCTTGTTCTGCTGGATAAATGCTCTCTTCACCCAACTTTCTTTTCCTTCATTATTTCCTCCTTCTGTTTAACTTTGGAAACAAACAGTCTTTGGGATTCTACTTTTTTTCCCCACCAGCCACAAGACTCCAAGAAAATGTCATCCATGAGAACACTGTAAGTGTACTAATAAGTGCTCAATAGATATTTCCAACTCTCCCACCGGATCATAGGACAGGATTGTACTTTCCTGATACCTTGAACTCAGATGAGACCATTTAATTGCTTTGGCCAATGAAATTAGTCCTATTAGCCATTCATTGGTAAAAGCCATTAAGAGTGAGTGTATGAGATGCCAGTCCTATCCTAGTGGTCATGGGATTGGGCTGTCAAGGTAGGTCCCTGAGGTAACCATGATGAGCAAGTCAGATGGAGTTAGACACAAAATATGTGTGGGACTGCTACAGAGGCCACCATGGTTTTGTAGCCTATTATCTGGCATGGGTTAGCTCATTGTGACTGGGAACCACTTACTCACTTATTCAGAATTATGTATCTTTCAAAGGACAGCTACTCTGCTAGCAATGAGCTCCATAGCTAAATCTCAGCTATCACCCTGTTAATCAAGATCCTATGCTTAGGATCACTGTCAGAAATCAGAGTTCAAGATACAGCTGTTTGCTAGAAACCCAGTAAATGAAACCCAGTAAAACAGGAAACTGACCTGATTTCCCTCTGAAATGTTTACTTTTGTTGCACTAGTCCGCTCTGAAGGCTAAAAGCTACGGAACACTGGATTCAGTTTTTGGGAAGTTTCACACAAACGGTAAACACTTGTTTCTGCCTCCTGTTCTGTAATATCCCATGTTCTTTTTCATTTAACATATATCACACCAAGCAATTCCTGAAAAAATCCTAGCTGTTTTGTCCACTGAGCCTATCTGGAGTCCTTTCCCAAGTCTTACTCTTATAAAACTAGCACTGAGCACTTGGAAAGATTTCACTGCATATGTAAACACATAGAATTTCTTTCTCTCTTGAATAAATGCACCATTTACAAAAATCTGTCTGACCATCAAGCCTGAGAAATAAGCCCCTCAGGAATCTGTCAGTAGGCTCCGCTGCAGCAAGCATGCCCTCCTGAGCACTCAGTGCCCCAGGAGTCAGCCCCACTGGCACATGACCTTCAGGCAACTACTGTGTGGAGGTGCAAACTCAGATGGGAAGGAGCAGGTGTCCGTGAAAGACCAGAGGTCGAAGTGAGCACACAGAAGTGACAAACTTGGGGTAAGACTATAAAATCCCTAAGATCAGACTTTAGAAAATCTTAAAATTTTAAGATGAATGATTTTAGAAAAAGATTCCAAGAACTATCCATAGTGTACTAAGTGCTCTGCAGACCTCAGCTGTCACTGCCATGAGTGTGGCTAAAAGGGGAGTGGACTGAGAAGGCCCAGGGTGGGGCCAGCTGAAGAGCACTTTTACATCAGCCTGTAAGGGTTCTAATGTAACCCTGGAACACGAAAGTCATATCCTAACACCAAGAAAACTAGGATATTTCAAACCCACAAAAGAAGGGGTACTTCAGAGAAGGCTCACATCGCTGACTAAAAGCACTTGATGCTCTTATAGAGGAGTCCGGTTTGCTTCCCAGCATCCACATGTTGGCTGACAAGTTCCCTAACTTCAGTTCTAGGGGAACTGCTGTGCCCACAGAGGCCAGAAGAGGGTATCAGATCCCCTGGGACTAGACTTACAGATGGTTATGGGAGCTGGGAACTGAACAGGGCCCTCTAGTAGTGTGGCCCTTGAGCCCTCCCTTTAGTTCCAGCTGCTTAGGCTGTCTACATATGAATCACAAGTTTTTTAAAAATGGAAATGAGGACTGAGATTGAAAATATTTCATGTCAGAGAACATTAGGGAATGGAACACAGCTGAGTGTGGTGATGCACACCTTTAAACCCAACACTCTAGAAGGGAGATCAGCCCTGTGAGTTTAAAGCCAGCCTGGTCTACATAGCAAGTTCCAGGCCGGCCAAAGCTACACAGTGAGACCCTATCAATAGCAACACAGCATCCACCGAGCACTTGTTAGGTATCAAGTTCTTTATTAAAAGCAACACTTATAGGATCTGATTCTCAACCACATGTGGGCACCATCTCCAGTTTACAAATATGAAAATTAAGAAGCATAATGAAACTGTTTGCTCAAAGCCTAGAACCTGGTCCATGGCAAAACCTATAACCTTCCTCAGCTGACAAAGCTCAAGCGCCAGAGTTCCTAACTTATAAGTCTCATAACTTATCTGAACCACAATGAGCCACATGAAACATGTGCAGAGAATAAAGTGGATAAACTGTAGACAATAAAAAACAAGATGTAAGTCAGACTGAAGAATAAGGTGGAATTTGAAAGTCTGATTAAAAGGTAACTTTTAAGATGTTAAACTTACTGCTTACAGTTAAATTTATCCTCAATCACCATAAACACCAGAGTGAAAACACAGGAGAGAAAGCTCTTGAAGTTGCATGTGCATTGGAGTATTCTTTCTGTTCTCTTGAGGAGACAATAATCTTACTTCTTTGAAAATGTAGAAATATGGGCATCATTCTATAACTAGCTTACTGAATTGAAATACTGAGATCAATTTAACATAACTTTAGTTCTATTGCTGAAGTAGTGACTAAGGTATATTTGATAGCCTAAATAGAGTTGCTAAATAAATCTAAAGAGAAGTTTCTCATCATCAGAGTTAGAATTCATACTGAAATTCCAGTAGTATGCACATACCCATACAAGTGCACACACTTGATATCACTGAATTTTAATTGAACATTGGCAAGCTTCTATCACATATGCACATTTTCATCATTCATAGCTCTGTTGGATTACTACTGTCTTCCTATCTATCTATCTATCTATCTATCTATCTATCTATCTATCTATCTATCAATCTAGTTATTAAACAGAGTCACACACAAACACACAAAGACTCCTAACTGATCAGGAAAGCTGGGGGAGATTCTCTGGCAGGCCTCACTTCTCTCAACAAGCTTGGGGGTAATCCACTGTAGTGGAGATGGCCATGCACTGGGGCTATGAGGCTTTTCTGTTTTGTTTGTTTTGATTTGGTTTTGAGACAGGCTCTTAGCTATGAAACCCACTATGCAGCCCAGGATGGCCTTGAACTTACGATCTTCCACCTGCCTCAACTTCCTATATGGTGGACTTAAAGACATAGGCACTACACTTGGCTTACTTTCTTATTTTTTTGGAGGGCTATTTTAAAAACAGCTCTTAGCTGAAGACATGGATGATATCACACCAGACATGTACATATATTTCTAAGGGCATATTTCATTTCTAGTGCTTAGTAGAAAACTTCCCAGCAAAACAACAACATTCACTATTAGTAACCTGCAGAGTAAGGCAAGATCTGTGAGAACTGTTAGTTTTATTTAAATATGTGTTACATTACAAGTAAATAAGCATAAACCAAACAGTAAGAGTTTCTCATTTAACTGTACTGTAGAACACAGAGTTCATTATGAACAATGAATCAGTCACACAGCAAATACTTAAAATTCACACTGACTTTGGGCATGATTTCACGTATACACACATATGTTGATTGCATAAGTGATAATTTTAGGAATGTTACCAGGAGTTTTTAGGCTTTCAATATGCTTCTGAAATGAAAGAAACAACCTGGATATAACTACTATTATCAAGATAAATAATATAAAAGATTAATAGATTATTTTAAAAATAAACAATCAACATAAAGAACACAAACCACAAAATAAACTTAAGATGAGAAACCAAGAATTAACTGCCCAATATAAGGCACATAAAACTCGGATGAGGCAGACAATGCTTGATGAGAATGCATACAAACATAAGGACTCATTACAAGTTACCAGCAATTGAGTCTATTTTTCACATTACATATTATGCTACATAAATGAGCTATTCAGCACTACATAGACTTTCTTACTGAAATGAAAAAGCAAGTTCATGAAAGCAGTCACTCCTTAATCTAGCCTACCTTATTTTTTGGATTGGATGTGTTCATTACACTTCGAGTCTCTTTTCCAGTATAAATGACAACACCTATTACAGTACCTGCAAAAACACGAAAGTGGTCCTTATAGCAATACTTGAAAGCAGAGATAACACTTTCTAATTAATCGTCTTGATGGAAAATATATTATACTGCTTGAGCTTATACACATTTACCCAACAGTCTATTTGATTTGGCTAGTTCAAGGAAATTTAACCTTAACTTTTAAAAAAGACTTAGAGGTAAAATGATTTGTTAAACAATACAAATTTGCCTGTACAGAACATTTAAAAACTGTACTAATGTTTGTTTTCCTGTCAACAGGAGTGACATGGCTTTTCCTTACTGTCCACCGAGACAGTACTGGTTCAGGTTAAACTGGCATCAAAAGGCTGTCCCTATTCCTGACTGACAACACTGGTGGACCTCCAACAGGACAGGAGACCCCGCTCTCTGGCCTGAGTGCATCGCTGGGCACGCAGGGCGAGGAAGTGCCTCGGCTGCTGTTTCCGTCGCGCGTCTTCAACAACTGGTCCTCTACCAGGATACTGCTGAGTGGAGCCCTGGGCTAGCATGTGCTGGGGCCTAATCCACGCTTAGCACCCCAAAAACCAACTAGGCAAACAAACAAAGACTCACCAGAAATATAATTTTAAAATATTTGATTTCAGATTTAGAAGCTACTCATTTCTTTAATGGATGTCTATAAAAGTTTGGTTGTCTAAGTTTATAGGTAAAAAAGATGTAGTACTTTTTCAACGTAAGAAAATGATCATCTGTATGTTAAAAGGCTGAGAGCATTCATATACAGACTGCAAAAACTAAAAACCATGGAATCTCTACATTACATCTATACCACTTGTAGTCCTAATTTTGTCTTTAAAATTCAAAATTCCTGATACTGAAAAATACAAAGTAGAAAGATATTATATTCATATGCACATAAATTACTGAAATTAACAATCCCACCAAAATTAACTCTTAAAAATTATATAAAAAACTGTTTTGCTTCAGAGGCAGAGGAAGAAAGCTTGTAAGTGGAATACACAGCAAGAACCTCCCTCACCAAGAACACCACCACTCCCAATACCTACAACCCTAGATGTGCCATTAGCATGTGCAACTCAGCAAACTCTAAGTCGGGACTCATGGGGTAAATATGCACTACTATGGTTCCATCTGAGCACTAACAGCAGCATGTGGCACATGAGGTCATTTCAGCTTAGCTTCATCGAGCTAGGAAGGGCAGACCCACACAGGCCTCAGCAGCAGTACGCAGCACAGAGGCTGTAGAGCCTGTAGTCCTCGCTGAGCACCACAGTGAAGCCAAGTTCTGGAAAGGTGTGATTGGCTAACAAGGGGTGTGGAGCTCTTTAGTGTATAGGATATTAAAACTATCAAACTCTCACACATAACAGTTCATACCACAGAATTGTTTCAATATTAATAAGGCTAAATGTGAAATATAGACTGATCAATATTTTTTCCTATCTGCCAATTTAACTTCTTCAAATGTAAAATTGCCATTAATGTTGAATAATACAATTCCACAACAATGCAACTTAACATCAGCAGAACAAACAAGTGTCAGAGAAGCCTTCAGAATGATCCTTCAAGCTTAAAACCCTGTCCTAAAAACCAAGGCAGATTCTGAGCAATGTAGATTCTAGGCTGGTGTAATTTACAGTACTCAAATTAAACAAAGAAATGCAAGACTAACAAGAAACATGGCATACACAACACAATTCCTGAAGTTAGAGTTGTGCAACATTTAACATTTGCTAAAGGCTCTCATTGTATTCTCTCATTTGATGGTTGCTGAAAATGACTACTCAGTGAAATTAGCTTAAGTGCATTGTTGTTCTGAGCCTCGTGCTTTTTAATTACTCAGAATTGCTTGAATGAGTCCAGTGCCATACAAGACTCTCTGCTCTCTTGGACAAGAGTATGCATGTATAGAATGGTGTAGACTCAGACCCAGTACACCCTGGAGAAAGCAGCACGGAAAGGGGAGAAGATGCCAGTCTTGACACTGAGCCATGAGAAGACAAGAATGACCTACTCTTGCACTACGGCAGATAAATAGAAGACAAAAATAGGACAGATGCCAAATGTGTTTAGATTTCGAAGGGAGGGGACATGTAAGTACAAGAATTTTCATATTTTAATCCATATTTTTAGTGAAAAACCAAGCTACCCTTCTGGCTCCAAACTGAGAAAGTTCAGTAGATTCTGAAGAATGCTTGCATGTTAAACCCACAGCCACAAAGAAATTCCTAACAGGTGGGTACCATGTAACAAAATCCCTAAGGGCAATGGGATACAATGTCTAGAAGTGAACCAAAATTTAGGTTCAGTTTGCAGCAAGACAATATTTTAAGGCTTATGAGTACTTAGCCCTGAAAGTTAAGGATTATACCCCTCTGGTCAAAATCTACATCTTTGATTTGACTAAAGTCATCTAAAAACCACTGTAAAGATTCAGATGCTAACTGTCCCAAGCAAGGCTAGTAGAAGCATGACACACTTGACTACTGACTAGAAACCCAGGCCCTACTGGCTGGCCTCTAGGGGGTGAGTCTGAAGATCCATTATACTTTGATTGGAGGAGGTCAGTTATAAATGCTTTGACTATACTATGGCCTCCCTGCTATCCATATATCTAAATTTCATAAAATGCCAGTTTCAAATTAATAGTTGAGTTATATTTTAAAGCAAATAACTTTTCTATGAAAACTAAAAGTGCTAACAGCAACAACCTTAGGGGGAAAGGTATTCTTCATATAAATGTGTAACATATATGACCACTAAATGTAATCACTCAAGTCAAACTAACTACTCTCCTTAATTTTATTTTTTTATTTTTTATTTTTTATTTTTTTTTGGTTTTTCGAGACAGGGTTTCTCTGTGTAGCTTTGCGCCTTTCCTGGAACTCACTTGGTAGTCCAGGCTGGCCTCGAACTCACAGAGATCCGCCTGGCTCTGCCTCCCGAGTGCTGGGATTAAAGGCGTGCGCCACCACCGCCCGGCTTTCTCCTTAATTTTAAATGATTGGAGTCTTAAAAATTTTCAGCTGCCACCTTTTAACCAGAGGTGACAACATGTGAACTTACTCATCAACTAATGTTTATAAACTGATAATCATTTTAGGTGATCTGGAAAAAATTACATACAGATGCAAAATAAGGTGAGGCCTTTAAACAAACTGACTAGTGGCTTTAAGCTAATGGAAAGGGGGATGCCTACACAAATAAAACAAGACAAAAACCCAGACAGAAAGTCAAAGAGTTAGCATGCATTCTGTGTATGGATGAAAGATCTGTTAGCCAAAGTGTAGACCAAATATTGGTGATGCTTCCAGAACCTAAAAAAATAATATAAAGACAAGCATTAGGACCATGATCACCAGCCAGGACCTGACTACCAGTCTTTACAGATGCTCACTGATAAGGAAGCTTCACAACCAGGTCCAAGAGGTAGAAAATGGGTAGCACAAAGGATATAATCACGTGCTATTCAAGCACCAGGTGCATACTGACTGGAGCAAACAACAGGCCGAGCCTTGAGAACTGCTATTTACACAGTAAAAATGCATTACCAGGAAAATAAATTAAAAGCCAAGTAAAAGAAAATATGCCTTCATTTTTTTTTCTTCTTTTAGTATTAGTAAACTATACCAAATGCCTCTAAATGTTTCCAAATGTTCACTCTCAGTTTATGCATTTTCCACAATACTTCCACCACTCCTGGAAGCCCCATCTGCATGTATGCTACACCATGCTCTAGAGGCAGAGCTCCTGGACAATCCAATCTGTGCATATACATTCTTATACATTGCTTCAGAAAGGCTTGCTTTTAGGTTTAGAGCAACTCCACGTAGGAACTTGATCTGCTTTTTCAAGCAGTGGTTCTCAACCTGTGGGTTGAGACTCCTTTTACAGGGGTCACCTAAGACCATCAGAAAACAGATATTTATATTCTAATTCAAAACAGTAGCAAAATTGCAGTTATGAAGTAGCAAAGAAATGGTTTTATGGTTGGGGGTCACTACAACATGAGGAACTGTATTGAAGGGTCACAGCATTAGGAAGGTTGAGAACCAGTCATTTAAAGGAATAGTGTTCTCTGAGTCAATAGGGCAGCCTGGAGTGGTCTCTTTGGTCACCTGACACCTTATTGCTCTCTGTAACTTGAATTGCTAGTCCCATACTGTTAAAACTCTATGACAGGGCAGAAGGTCAGAAATAACTTCATTCAAAGAGCTTCTCTGGGCCTAGAAAGGCACAATGGCACAGTACTTCACTATTACGTGCTAGGCCATGATACATAGGAATGGCAGCACAGCTTTAAAAAAAAAAAAAAGTGCCATGAAGTCTCCCAAACATGGCTGCCTAAACACGAGCTGAACAAGGGGACACCAACAACAGACATGCTAGTGGGAAGGTTCTCAAGGCCTAAACCCTAGACAAAGAACTCTAGGAGAGGAATGAACACTGCGAGTAGAAGAAGGAAGTCGGCCCCAGGAAAGAGCACACCGATTAAGTTATCCAACACCAAATGGTCAGACCTGAAAACATACACATACAACTAATAGTATATGGACTAAGCAGATTGTGTTTATATTTACAAACACACACACATACACATAGTATATGTGCAACAACAAAGAAAAAGAGGATATGAATTTGAAAGGGGAAGAGGAATTCATGCAAAGGTTTAGAGGGAAGAAGGGGAAGGGGAAGTGATATAATTATAATCTAATTTTTAAAGGTGCTATCTTGAATTCAGTTAAAAAGAATTTTAAACCTGTGACCAGTTACAGACAGATAAGGACCCTCTGGTTACTTCTGGTAGTCTGAGACTTGCAACACTCCTAAAGACCTATGTTTTTAAATATAGTAGGAACTGTGTTAAAGCATAACAGCATTAGGAAGGCTGAGAACCACTGCTTTAGAACATCCTCTAAGAGCTCAACCACCCCATTCAACCCAGTACTACAAGGGACAGCAAATACGAAAGGCTGAGAGGTGACAGACATTATGATGCCTCCATTAGTATCTCTGCTGTAGAAGTATTCATGTAGCAGCTACTGCATGCCAAGGTCATTTTGAAAATGAAAGTCAAACAGAAAAACTATGTCCAGGAAATTCTACAGGACATCTCAGAAGCCTTAAGCTCAAGTTGCTTCTATTTCCCAGGAGAAAGGCCACAAATCAATAGTACTATGATTTGATGTCAACAGTCTAATACATATTTAAAACAGAAACAAAGAACAAAACATGAAGTATTTAAAAAGAGAATCTTTTAATCCCTTAATGAGTCTTAATTTAACACTATAAATAGAATGATTAATGACAGAACATTTTAAATTCTGTCCAAACAGGTGCTTCTATGTCCCATACTGCAGACGCTCTATTATCAATGGATGGTAAGCTCAGAGACCACACGTGCACTCCAACCCTGGGTGGATGCCATACAGCTCTGGCCTGTGCACACAGGGGCATTTGAGGGGAACAACCAATAGTGGCATCACCTCACTGAACTGGAACAGGGCTCGTCAGTCTGTAAGGGTCAGGAAAGTGAGGGGAGGGGAGGGCTTCCAGAGATGCCATGAGCCCCTTTCTACGGTGAATTCAAAGACCCTGAACCTGTGCTCTCTCTCTCCAGAGCTAAGCACCTGGCATTCCCACCTCTGAGATATCTTCATGGAAAAACATCTTTACTTCTCTATCTACAATTTTACAAATATATGTGGGTATCAAAACATCAAACATTACAAGTGAACACTTTCAAGATTCTCACAATTTGCCTCCATGTTTGTTTTTAAAATATGAAATATCATAAAATTTTCATATTCTATCTCTAAAGCGTGAGTATCTGTAGTTCTCCAGGGCTGTGTGTGTAAAGAGGACCGATTTAAACAAAGGATCACAGAACTTCCTTCCTGCCTGATATTCCCCTTCCCCAACACATCCACACATCTGGGGCCAGGCACACTGGCACCTCAGCCTTCTTCTTCAGGGCACTGTGTCCTCTAAGTACTAGGCCTTCTCCCAGCTGTCTTTGGACAGGAATACTCCCACAACTGTCCTGTCATCCACCGCACCTGGTCCCACCTGCCTGTGTATTTCTTTAATGCTTTTTAAACATCTCTTTTGCAGAGAGGTCTTCTGTATTTCATGTCTCTAAGGTTCTTGGCTGACATACTTTCTTAGGACATGGTACTTTTTGTGGTACTTAGTATAGCTAAAATTATATGAACCATTTTCTTAAAGCTTTTCCTACCCACCAAAGCTGCCTATTGACATGTTCCGCTTCATTCTAGTAGTGTGACGGGAGAACTGACATCCTACTCAAAACTGCTGAGTGCTCCTTAAGTGTCCCTAGGTTCCTATCTCCTCCAGCATCCTTTTCCCTGTGCTTTCTGACACCGAGCTTCATGCATGGTACCTTCCTTAAGATCAATTAACTTCTTCTAATACCATCACTGATGTCAACCTACTTCTGACCAGGTGGTGAAACCTTATATTTCCAATATACCTCATAGAAATTTACTTGTAAAACTGTCATCTTAAGTAACCTCCTCTTTAACCACTAGGAGTATGCCACTGTCTTCCATTTTCTCTCCAACAACATTCAGATCTTCCCTGCTTCTAAAGCCCTGGCTAGTGCTATCTCTTCTGGCCTGTATGACTTCATCTAATCCGGTACTCTCCTACATTACCCCAGCCAGGCTTTTCTAGGTTTTGTCAGCTAGACAAAAAGTAGGTAAGAACCATCAAAAATTATTACTAGTCTCCCAGCCCTCCTGTGACCCCCCCTCATCAAAGCACACTAGTATACATCAAGTAACATATGTCAAACATAGAAAAATGGCCCTTGCTCCACCACAATGGCTGTACCAACACTCTCATACTTCTGGCCTTGTTCTGCCATGGGAGAATAGTAGCCCCGGCTTCGACACAGACTCTCAAGACTATCTCCTGGCTTCTCAACCAGCATTCTCTAAATACCACAGGAAGTTTAGGAAAGCTGTTTTAGAATACCTAGACAGGACTAACATCCTTTGTCTGTGAGACATGCAGGGACACTTCTCCCTTACCTGATGCAACAATGGTGCTTGCCCACAATGTGTTTTCTATACTGAGACTTTCATGAATGGGAGGATCACTGTCTTCCTGTTCAGGGAGAAAAAAAAAACAAAACAAAGCTAGAAAATTAGCAATGTTCTACTCACATTTCAGGTATCTACAGCGTCAGAAAAGAAATGTGCCCATCTTCTGTACCCGACTAATCACAAATACAAGTTTCAAGGGGGAATATAAAATCTTGAAATTACAATTTGACTGATTCATTCATAAACACTTTTAATGCTTACACGTATAATGAATAATTTTAAATTTTCATAGGTGCACTCCTCGTATGCTGATTGTTTGTAGAGAATAAGCTAAAATATTTTCTAAACACACGGTGTGAGCAACAATCCTAATCTTAGATGCACTTTTCCTAGAAAGTTAAAAACTAATATGAGCACAGACATAACCATGAACAAACATGGTAGAATTTTCCTATATTCCATAAACATGGCAGAATTTCTTCTCCCTAATTTTTCTCTAGGACAAGGGCTAGTCTTTAAAATATAAACATGCTCATGAACAGCAAAAAAATGCTTCTGTGACTATCAGTAACACACACAGGAGAAATTAAAATATGATGTTAGATATTTTTCATTAAGCAGCCTCCAAATACAAGCATTTTGTTGCTAATTATATATGTAAACATCAAATGTATCCAAATAGCAATACCACAATATTATAGTACATACAGTTTAGTTTCATATTTACATGTTTCATGCTGACATTCAGAGATAAAATACACAAGCTGAGGATTTCATCTTAATGTAAAGCCATGGTCTATATTGTGATTATGGGAGCCTTGCTAGAGACCAGGATCACAAAAGCCCAAAGATCTGCACCTGATGGTGATTCCCAGAAGAAAATACACACCACAGTGGATGACCTCTGATGGGTGATGTCATTCTGTATGCTGTGAATATGTGTTGCTCTGATTGGTTGATAAATAAAGCTGTTTGGCCAATGGTGAGGCAGAATAAGGTTAGGCGGGACATTCTAACTAGAGAGAGAGAAAGGAGAAAGAGAGCAGAGAAGATGCTGCTAGCTACTACCAGGAGAAGCAAGATGTAAAGGTACCAGTAAGCCATGAACTACAGATTTATAAATATACAGATTTATAAAAATGGGTTAATTTAAGATGTAAGAGCTAGCTAGTAAGAAGCCTGAGCCATTAGACCATATAGTTTGAAATTAATATAAGCCTTTGTGTGTTTATTTGGGTCTGACCAGCTGCAGACCAGGCAGGACACAGGAAAACTTTAAGCTATAGACCTCAATGTCTGCACATGGCAAAAACATCTCACATTATCTTGATTGTTAGAATTACTCCTTAAAACAGTAATTTCCACAGGATCTTTATTATAACTTGATAATTTGCTATCAAGATACATTCCAAAATAGCAAAGAAATCAAATGTGGGGAGAAAAAAGTTTTTGCCTATGGGTGTGTCTTTTCCATTAATGTATCAGGCCATCTTCAAATGGTACCTTTTCCAGCCATCTTGCTAGCTATTAAATATATTTGGTACACAATTCTCTGATTTATATTTAAGGTACAGAACCTAAATATGGTGATAATTTGTACTGAAATGTGATTTTATTTGTATGTTAATAAATAAAGTTGCCTGGGGGTCAGAGCTAATAGCAAGCCATAGCAGAAGCCAGGTGGTGGTGGTGCACACCTTTAATCCTGATCACATGACAGGCAGATCTCTGTGTGTTCAAGGATACAGCCAGCATGGAAACATACACCTTTAATCTCAATACCAAGCATAGAAGACCTGGAGGTCTGTGACAGGCAGTGACACAGAGGTCATGTGCTTGGGTTTACAACCAATAAGAAGCCATAACAGAAAGTCAATAAAAAGACAGATACACAGAAAGTAGGTCTCTTTCTCTGGGGAAGGATGGCAGCGGCAGGAAGGGTAAGAAGGCGGTTTTAGTATATGTGCTGCCGAAGCAAGCACAAGAAGGCGGTTTTAAGTCTCAGCTCTTAGCTACTGCTCTGACCTCTTGGACTTTTAACTCTGCATTAGGCTCTGTGTTTCTTATTTAATAAGACTGTTACATCTACATTTGGCGCCCATGTGGCAAGAATTCATTAAAAACCTCTTGGCTTGGCAGCCCAGCCCAGTTTCCCACCTCAGCGGGACTAGCTCCTCAGCTCAGGCCAGCTCAGCCTAGGCCCCAGGCCCAACCGACCGTAGCTACAAGCGGTTACCCGCATCTGGAGCTACTTGCAGCCAGATAAAAAAGCCGGTGCTACGAACAACTCAGGCCTGCCAGAGCTACTAGTCGGCTACACTTGACTGCAACTGCAGACTACTTCAAAATATTTCCAACACTGCCAACATTTATAAAATAAAAGGTTTCATTTGTCCTATAGGTGCCTTATATGCATTTGACAGCAAAACCAGTAATCATGAAACCTACTGCCTTCCTTCAACTGAGTTCAGGCTTGTGTCTTAGAACTGTGTGATTCCTGCATTCCTCTACAGTACCCAGAGAAGACAGCATCTAGTCATGCCCTGGGTTTTGAGTTTTGTGACTGTGAAGGCTGTCATAGCAGTAAGTTTTAAAAACATAGGTATGCTTTAAAATTATGTGTATCCTCATTAGGGGCCAGGGGTGGGGGAGCACTGATGCTTAAAAAAGAACTCTTCCAAAACACAGAACAAAGTTTAATTTATGTCCTGGTTACAGTACTCACAAATACAGGAATCAAACACAAGGCTTCACACATGTAGACCATTGCTCTACCACAGATCAACATCCCTAGACCAGCTAATACCTCTTTATGTAGAAAAGCTGATGTTTACTTCAACCCAATATAAATGTTCATGTCTGCATGGGGAAAAACTTAGAGTCCAAGAATTATATTAGTATTTATTTAAGGATAACAGAGTTAAAACCATGCTTATGCTTTAATCACTTTACTTTGATATAATAAGGATGACAAAATGTTTACTGAATTGGGACCTGCATGGGACCTCCCACATCATTAGTATCAAAACACACAGACACTGAAGTAATCTGCTTCATATTTTCCAACAATGTCTTCCATTGACAATGTCAAGAATACACTGTCTTTTCTTCTCCAGTTCAGAACTGAAATCACTCTTCAAGGTAAACAGATAATGGTTATCTAAGGAAAATTAAGTTTTCCCTTTATTTTTATAGTTTAATAGAACAAAAGTATCAACTTTTAGAAAACCCAGGTCATCTTGATGGACCACATTGCTTTTTATTTGACATTATGGCTGAACTGAAATGACAACTTTTGAACAGAGTTTAGTTCTGAAAAATACTGTTGGAGAAATAAATCCAGATGCTCTTTGTTGTATTTACCATATACAGCCAATATGGTAAATCCTTCAATTCTATGTTGGTCTAAGAGTTTTAGCAATGGAATACAAAACTAGACACTTTTTGATCTGTACATTTACCATTTTATAAAATTACTCCCTAACTACATGTTCCTATTTTATCACAACAATTTATATCTTTATTTGTCACCTAAGGACCATAAATAAACAACTATAGGGTTACTTTGCCCTCCACACACAGAACAAGAACATAAACTTACCCAATACATTAATAACTGAAAAATAAAGCAGAATTCTCTACCTTCCATAGGCATCACGAGTCCACAGACTAGACCGCACACACAAGGCCGTGCCAACCACTAAGCTAAGCTATCCTACATAAGGCCAGGAGTAGGTGGAGCATGCAGTGGCTCAAGAGAAGGAACAGGGCTGTCTTTTGTGTGTGGTAACTGAGCTGGGTCTGCAAAGCATGCCCTACAGACACACCCAGGGAGAAGCATACACAAGCTTCCCTTTAGCACATCCTTGATTTATGCCTTGAGCACAATGAAATTCATTTCATTCCTTTAAACTCTCTCTGGTGGCACAGTGGCGACCTGAATTCCAGTCATCAGGAAACACAGGTAACGAACTCCGAAAGTCTGAGGTAGGAGGGCCTGGTCTATACAGCAAAAATACACAACCAGGCAGGGTTATTAAAAAAAGAAAATTAGCAACACAATCAAAACCTCTCCCTAAGGCTTCCTTCAAAAAAGTGTCAATAATTATTCACATGTATTTACCATTTGGCATAATATTTCCCTTTTATGTCAAACTCTCAGAGACAGATGGGAGTTAAAGCAGGTAATAGTCTTATAAAATTGTCTGAACTGGAAATAAACTTCTATACAACTTAATTTTAGAAATGTAAGTTGGTTTTCCCATTAACTGTCTACCCTATTTTATCTATTTCTAATAAAATCTGAAAGAACACTTACTCTCCATGGTTTTCCTTCAATTCTGTCATGGGAGTGACAGTTTCTAAGCATTAAGTATATCAAATACATATCACAAAAATCACTCTAAAGTTCTTTACCAATCTCATGCAGAAGTAATAAAGAATGAGATGATGGAAAAGAATTTTTAAATCACTTTCACTTTTGGTTACTCATTCCTTAGAATTACGTAGTTTGAAAAAAAGAATGCACTTTGAGGGGAAGAATACCAAATGTTCCAGTTCCAGGCTGGTCCCTCAACAGTAGCCTTGTGTGATAGACAGGGCAACTCTACTCAGAAAGACCAGAGTTCTAACAGGAAGAGGACTAACAAAGGTTGGGTGTGTTGTGCATATACAAGAAACTAAAGCAGAAAATGCACAGCGGGAGCACATGGGAGACATTGGTAGAGGATAACGAAAAGTATTAGCCCACGTTTAACCCCAGCTTTCCAAGGGAAGGCTTATGTCTTAAACAAAAGGAGAGGTTAGCATCTGGAAGAAAGCTAGAAACCACTTCCAGCCCAACACTGTGCAGCCAGGTTGCCCATGCTATAGGAGGGTGGCGGACACAGACTCACTCACAACACGATGACTGTGTTAAGAGTCACCAGGGACAACAAAATGCACAATGTACCTACTACCACAGCAACCTCAAAGTGATGTGCTCCAATCCCTAATTCAGTCTCTAAACTGGCCGCCAACAGGGGTAGCTGCTCCTTTATACTGTACTAAAAGAGTTTCCAA